ACTGTTTGATTTAAATATTTTTTTGTTAATTAAAAAATATTTTTGTTATCTAACTTTTTCAACTCTCCCGTAGGCCATAGGCCATAGCCACGGGTGTCCACGGGGGTAGATGAAAAAAAATTTAAAACCAGGACCATTTTCTTAGAATATAAGGAAACGCGTCTTCCTCGCCTATTTCAAGACTCGACGCAAGGTAAACACGCTTTCCCACAGAGCTGTGTTCCCTCAATCAGAACAAAAATACTCCAAAAACGTTGCGTAGATTTAGAAAGAAAAATGGTACCGGAGAGGCACGGCGGCGGACCGCCTCATGGAATCATACTGGCGATAGTCGTGGGGATAGTGGTGCTGGGCCCGTACGTGTTTGGTGACCAAGGCGAGGCCATAACTGGGGCGATTGCAGAGCTGTTAAGTCCAGTCGGCCTCCTTCTCCTTCCCATTGTCCTCCTCCTCACCATCCAGTTCCTGTCCTCGGAGCGTGGATCCTTCGTCTCCAGTATTTTCACCACTGGCGAACCTGACTCCTTTCACCGGGTAAGCGGGTCACCAGTCGGAGTTGCGCTGTTCCTTGTTCTGATCTTGTTTTTGCTTTACAATCGGATATCCATCTTCGGCGGAGACGATGACTCCGGCGATTGAAACCGCTGCTCCGCTTTGCATGGATCTGATTATCCTTCATTTTCATTTTGTATACAGTACAGTACTTTCATGTATGACCGTTGAATTTCCGTAAATATCCCAGGTTGTGGATTTCATTTCCTCGTAGCCGACAGCCGCATTATTATTCATTTATTCTTGTTCATGATTAAGGGTAAAATGGTCTTTTCATTATCATATGTACCTACTGCCGATTGACTTCTGTAGATCTGGCGGTTGTTGCCGCGTCGGTGCAACGCCACCTGAAGGTGCACGGCGGAGCAGTCGTGGCTTTCCATCCGGCCGCGCTCTTTTTGTCGTTTGTTCAGATTTTCCTTTTCCTGGGATTTTTTAGACTCTGGAATCCGGAATGCAGCGAGTCTGGAATCCGGAATGCAGCGAGTCCAGCACGTGGGCACGTGCCCTCGCTTTTCATAACGATTTTCAATTTTAAAATTTTGAAAATGGTAAAATGACATCCATAGATCCTCAAGTTTGGGCTTACTTTTACAAGTTCCCTGCAGTTCAGAATTTCTCAATTAAGTACTAATACTAGTTCTAATTCCAACACCAACAACTAAACAGATACTCGTTACATCATGTGACTTCCATATCATAACAAATGGGCTGTCATCACAATTTCATATTTGCAGTATAATTTGTAGAAATCGTACGAAACAACGACGAAAGTAACAATTGAGAAAACCAGTACCCTGACTATTATTACGGTAGTTGAGCAAATCGTGCTGGTGGGAGCAGAGTGCAAACGCCACATTCACAATTTTAAAGCATATTACTATAAGATAAGCATTGAGACCTTATTTACATTAGGCGTCAAAAACGCTGTTAAGGGCTAATGCATATGGTGAAAGTTGGTCTAGCAACCTGGAACCATCTTAGCGAAATGCTGTTATGGTAATAAGAAAAATCGCTGGGTCACAGCTTTAGAACTCAATCCTGCGACTTTGAATCATCTAGCAGCTTCCCATCAAATATCGCATCTTGTGATAGATAACCCAAGTTCTTAGCCAGCCGATGTCAACTACTCAAACAGGTAAAAAAGAATGCAGTTAGTAAAAGTACCTGGTTTGAACCCTTCTAGTGCGTGCTAAAACCAGAAGCTAAACCAAATCTATGTTTGTACTAGCTGATGCCATAAAAGACAGCCACTTCTATAAATTATGAAAAAAATTTCCTACGATGGTTACAGATTATTGAAAAGCATTGTAAACTAAAGAAGGCAAACACATACATCAACACTGGTATTACTGCATAGGATTGTTTACAGGATGGAAAGCAGAAAAAGTGCAATCAGAACATATAAGATGAATGTAAGTGCAGGCATCAAAGCATGGACTTTCACCATACCTTCATGCAGCTCCAATACTTTGTAATTTATTGCAGTGTGGGGTTGGCATAGTCTTACTCCAGTGTCGCCTCTGGAGTTCTATCTGACAGTAGCGCCAAAGCATATATTTGTAGTCCTTGATCACATGGTCCTCAACATTAGCTCGTGCAGGGCTGCCAAGCGGAAAGTTCTCATCAAATGCGGATGATTTTACATAAAATTCCACTCCATGTTTCTCAGTTGTCTTTGGAAACTGATAATAGTGAGTCTTATGCAATGAATAGTTGGGCTCTGAAAATGGCATATAAGCTAGCAACAAAATCAACAGAAAAGGCACCATTTGAAGAAGAATGAGAAGACTAGGTCCTCCTCCATGAGACTCCTCTCTTTGATTGCTGCTTGTTCTACTCCTGTAAGCACGAGGTGTTCTAAACAGATTTTCCTGACCAAAAAATGACCTGTATATCTCATTATCAAAATCATCATCAAAGAACTCATGCTCATATCTCCTTCTCCTCCGCCTAATATTGCTCCTCTGATTGTGCTCAAATTCATCAACCAAACCTATCTGATCATACTGCCTCCTTGAATCATCGTCACTTAAGCATTTGAAAGCCTTGCACACTTTCTTAAAGGCTTCCTCAGAACCAGGAGCCTTATTCTTATCCGGATGAACTTTCAATGACAATTTCCTATAAGCTTTCCTAATATCCTCAACTGTAGTCGTCTTCTCCACACCAAGAATTGTGTAATAATCATTGTTTCTCTTAATATGCCTAATCAACTGAACATGTTCCTCGGTATAGCTCCGCTCCCCATTGCAGCTCTCAACAAAGTCCGATTGAACACCCTTATTCATACCACCAGCAACACACTTTTCACCAACAGAAGACGCCGAGGGTCCCGAATCAAGCTTCTCACAAGCATCCAAAAGTGCATCAACAGATAAATTATGATTAAGACGCTGTGCAATTCCAATAAACTTCAAAGCACGCTCCTTGTTACCCAAAGCAATGGCTTCTTCAGCAATACAAATACATCTCAATGCTTCATCCTTGTTACCATCCATAATTTGAAACACCCACTTCAAATTTCAACAAAATAATCAAAACCCAGATAAATATAACAGATATCTCTCCAATTTCGATCCCTAAGCTTCCCAGAACTTCATAAACCTAGAGAAAGAAAGTAACTTGGGCATAAAAATCGAAATCCAAATTAAACAAAGATCGAATCATGGGTCATACTCAATTCAATGACCACGAATTAATGACAACGGACTCACCTCACAGGCTTTCGCAAAGATCGAACCGCAGAGTGCCAGATACAGAGAAAGGAATTGAAGAGCAGTGAATAGCTCAAAAACCTTAAACAGTTAGATGACCAGAGAGGACACCACCGTTCGCCATATTTATAATGTTGGGAAGCCCAATGAGAACCCGCCACGTCAGATTTTTCCTTTTTTTAACAATTTTTGCAGGGGAATCGGTTAGAAAATCATTTAAGGAATAATGCCATTTTATAAAAGAAATAAATTAATTATTGGTAAATTTTCCTTTTTCAATATGTTGTTTTGTAATGTTAACATCTTATTATGATTTATGGATCATTAGATAAGAGTTTATTCATCCATTCAGAAATTTTTCTCGATCTAAAATTTATTTAAACTGCATTATATTATTTTTATTTTTATTTTACTTTTAATTATGAGTTTCTTGGTAGTGACAACCCATTTCTTACTTCATTCGACGTGCACGCCAATAACTTGAATTTAGTAGTGTTGACTGATTACTAGAATCAATTTTTCTGGAGTAGATTAAAAACGTCCTTAGGCAATTGATGTATTGCCAATGATATCTTTCCAGGGCATAAAAATCGAGTTAGTTGTTACTTACATCATTTACAACAAGCAGTTTTTGGATTAGAAAATGAGTATCCTGGAACGTTAGATTTCATCATCCGAGTTGAAGGATTGATGTCTCCTCACGGATTCCAATACATCCAATGATCGATCAGTTTGAACATTGCTTCCTCCCTGGGTAGACTTCAGTTTTGGTACTCTAAAGGAGTTGAGGGGAGGTGTTGATGCTCCCTGGTTCACCTCCTGAAGCACAGATCGAGCAGTGGCAGCAGCAGCTGTCGCTGCCTCAGCAAGGCCAAATCTTCCCCATTATCAACCATGCTTGGACACACAGAGGAGGAGCTGTCTGCTTGAAAGAGACTGTAATCCCTGGTAGTTTATTTAAATTTGAAGCCGAAGTTGATGGTATATAACAGTGGAATAACAGAGCTCATATCAGGTGGACAGATGATAACCAAAGACCCAATTGTGTAAACAGCAGTTATTGCCTTTGACAACATTCTGGATGCAGTTGCTGCCTGCTTCCCCTTCCTGTCCCCAGTTCTAGGTGGTGTAAAGATACTACCATTCATGTTTGCTTCTGAAGTCTCAGAAATATACTTCTCTAAAATATCAAATGCTTTAGAGAGGAGGAACTTCACGCATTTAGTGACAAGTATATCACCCTCCTTGGAACTTTTATGATATCAGAGTATTTTTTCTTGAAAAACAAGGGATCTTCTTATCCCTTTTAGGATCAATATGCAAGTTAAGCCCAAGATTAGGATAAAAGAATAAATTTCCAAGAACAATGGGTGACTATAAAGCTTCCTGCATACAAAACTCATGTTTAAACACACACAGAGAGTAAAAGGGAACAAAAGCAACATGTCAGGGGGGCAACTCCAGAGAAATATGTTTAAACTCATGCAAAACTCTGTAATTTTTTCAATTGATCAGTTTACAAGATAAATACCTCTATGGAATGCATGTTGAACTCTTCAATTCGTTTAAGCGAGTTAGAAGCCGGTTCTGAAAGCAGGTTCAGGGGGCAACTCCGCAGAAACATTGGAGATTGTTTGTAAGAGGAAAACAAGGTCCCCTGCCCTTGCAACTGAATTGGATCTTATGCCCTCTTCATCTTCATGCACATTGCCTTGCACAACTGGACTCTGAAACTCACCTTCCACTCTATGCTCATCAAGGATCCGCCAATGATGATGCAGGAACTCCCAATCAACTGCTTTTGAAAGATATGCTGAAACTTCAGATAGAAGAAACCAGGCACCCACTGGTGCTGTCCACTTCTCAATTGGCATATAATGGCTCAACCAAAGAGATTCCGATGTCCTTATAATATTCTGAAGGGCAATAGCAACTTTGGGCTTCAACAGTTTGTTTTTTCCCAGACTTGTGCAGATTTTCTTCACCCAAGATGTCACCTCTCCATTGCAGATCTCTTTTAGAAGATCCAAAATCCCTTCAGGAAATAACAATTTGATCTCTCTTTCTAAACATTTAGCTTTCATATTTGACTCACAGTTGGGTTCATCAATAGCAAAAGAAGTTGATGCTGCTCTAGATATCCGATCCAAAACCAATTCCAAAAACAAGCTCTCACATTCTTCTTGAATACTCATTTCATTATCTGTTATTAAACGTGGAACAGAATGCAGCCACTCAGCACTCAAAATTTCATCTGAAAATACCCTAAGGTCTGTGGGGTTAAGCAACAAAGTGAGTATTTGAACCAATTAGCCAAAGTGCAAGTAACTACCACCATAGACGAGACAATATTACATTTAAGAGAAGTTACAATGGTCATTTCAGGGAAGTAGAAGAAGAGTGGGGGGCAGGGGAGATTTATCCTTTTTACAAGTGACAAATTCATTTTAAAATTTAGTGTATAGTTTTCTATATTCAGGAGAGAAGATTAGCTTAGCCAAAATAGGAAAAAGAATATATTTGATAATACATTCCCATAAATCAAGACAACAAAAAATAGAATTACAAAACAACCTGGAATATATTGGCATATATTTATAAATGTGCAAATACTTTATGAACATTCCATAAACATTTCAAGCAGTTAATTGTAGCAGAAGAAATATTACTACCTAAGGATGGGCTGTTGTAGGCAGTAGGCCTCTGAAAAGAAAAATAGATTTCTTCAGCATTGAATTTTTTATAGGAATGTATGAAGCATTGGCATCATAAATCAATTCAGTGTCATCTACCATCCAAAAAAGTTACCAGGCAAAACTACTTCAGCAAGGAAACTTCAGATAATTCATAGAAGATAGAAGTAAATTAACCTCTAAGAGTGCTGAAATAGCAACTTTACAAATGCTAACAAGTGGATCCGAGCAAGCCCTTCCAATCGTCTTGAGATCTAAAGAACCACCAAAAATGGCTACCAACTTGGTAACAAGGAGTGCAGCCTTCCTAACAGCTGCCTTCTCATCCATACATCTCTTTCTTAGAATATCATTTATCCCACCCTCTGGCTTCTGATCTTTAACTTCATCTAACCCCAATGCTTCCTTCAAGATTGCCTTATTCCTGTCATCACCAGACAACAGCTCCATTACTTGGGCTAAGTTTGATAAGAATCGAGCACAAATACCAGCATTTAAGTCCCAACATCACTTAACCAAAGCCTCTAAACACCTTGATCCCCAAGAGACTCGTACTTCACCACCCCTATCAACACCCAGTGGATCATCCATTGAAGTCATCAAAGCTGCAATAAGATCAAAAGCTAACAGCCTAAGATTAGCCTTCCCTTCAGTCATCTTCACAATATACTCAACAAAACCCACTTGTTCATCAAATTCCATCAATCTAACTATCTCCATTATCGATTCAAAATAATAATAATAATAATAATTAAAAAAACTTAAAAAAAAAAAAAA